ATATGTCTTTATCTTCTGGTTCATCTCTTCTCTAGATCATTCATATAATTAGGAAGAGAGATTTACTCAAAAAAGATAATTTACGAAAATAGATAACCTTGCGACTCATTCAATATAAAAGAGAGAAAAATAACAAAAACAATGCGGTAGCACCAATACCCCTTATATTCCAAAAAAGTGCTTTAAACATTAAACAAAAATCCATAGAGAGTTAGAAGACTGTCAACTAACTTGCGATATAGTTAGCCCATTAGCTTTATTATTTATGTTCTTTCTTTTTGAAATAACACAAAAAAACTATCTATATCCTCACAATCAAGATTACGAATGTGCTTGTTATAAAGCTCATTAGCAACAGAAGGTACCAATTCCCCTTCATCCTTATCCGAAAAAGAAGCATCCATACAATCTTGATTCATAAGAGGGGAAGAAGAAATAAATTTCATATTGGTCGACATAACACCCTTAGCATTTGGAGTAACGTCAGTTGTTAAGTTAACCTCATTAGGAACCACATCTTCCCCAATATCACATTGTTCATTGATGAGAGTTATCATATGTGTTATTCAGGAAACTTCAGACACACTACTATAAGCTTTGCGACCAACCAAGTCATTCAATTTACCCAAACCTATAAGATTAAGCAAGCCAGCTTTTGGGGGAAATTGAGAATCTGCCAGAATATAATTTTGCATACCATTATTAATATTTAATGTAGTTTCACACCTACTCAAAGAATGACCTTCAAAGGGAGAACCCAAGTGTCGTTTGAGATTGAAATGTGAAGAAAAACATTGTTCTTCATTAAAATTCTATATGAAATTGTCCTTAAATTTCTTATACCACTTTAAACTTGTTAGTCAGTATGACGTCTAAAAAGTGAAATAATAATTTTTATGTATAGGATGGCATATGTTTAGTTATATATATTTATATATTTTTAGGTGTTAGCTATATAAATATATATGAATTAAGTTGCATGTATCTAAATATTTCAAAAATTTAAAATAACTAAGCACACTATTAAATGATTTAAGAAGTTCAAAATTTTGGAGATGTATCCCACGGCTATAAATACTCTACGGCTATCCTTTGAATGTCCGACTTCTACTACAGTTTAGGGTTTCACGATCATCATTCCAATGGTAACCGTAGCTTCCAAGCTGATCTCTAAAACCTCCCCGCTCCTCCACCGTCTGCACATACATTCTATCTTTTAAGTTGAAAAAAAGGATTGTGCCTTGTTTAATTTCTCCATACATAATTAGAATGAAAAAATTGTTATATAAAATAATGTTTTTTTTCTTCTTTCTTATAAAGGACATTATTTAAAAAATAATAGGAGTACGTAGCAAAGAGCTAGAATCAATATGATTTATTATGAGTAGCCCATTTCCTCTCCAAAGCATCATGAAACTTTCTAGACTACATTATAATATACGAGTTTCTAGATAGTTCTACATTATTCTTTACATATACATGATTCTAGGACTTTCTAGAATATTCTAGAGCTCTCTTGAAACTTACTTATTTCAACATATTTTTTGAATTATGTGAAACTTTCTAGAATTTCTTAGATTATTTTTCTCTTTCTAGCTTTTTCTAGAATCTTCTTTTCCATGGATAAAAGGATATGGCTCATCCTTGCTTGGGATAGAGATATGGTTTCATTTTGTATTTATTTTTAAATAGCATGATAAACAATAGTTGCTTGTTTCGTCCGAGAATGAAAGATATCGCTAAAGTATAGATGAATGGCATATACTTTTTATACACATTACCATGGCCCAAGGAAGGTGAATGCCAAGTTCAATGAAATAGGGAGTTGACACAACAAAGCTTAGCAATTATGGTGGAAATAGAGTGATATTCCAACTTGGTGGGGGTAGTGAGCCATGGTGTTTTATTTTTTGGCATTCCAAGAGATTGCGGTTTTACCACGTTATATGATGCGGACACTTGTAGAAATGAAGTGTAGACTAACGATTTATACGGTAAACTATCGGAGCAAAAACTCCAGTCCAATAGTTATGTGGAAAAATGGATGCAATAGAGAGAGAGGGAGAGAGGGGGGGAGAGAGGGAGAGAGGGGGGAGAGAGAGATTTCAACAAATATTATAATAGTGTTTTTTAAGGAATTTATCATTTTCAGATGTGCAGCTGGTTAAATGAGGATGCAATTGGTGGATAAGAATGCGTTAATAGTTTAGATACTCACTACCATTGTAGTAGCACATTGTCATGATTCTTAGATCAATATGCTTTTTGACTAAGACTTTAAATTTGAAAAAAGCATCATAAACTTGAGATATTTGTTTAAGTGGATAATGCTAGGTGTGTTTGGAAGAGCAATCCAAAAATGATTGCATGGGCGAGGTCCGTTACTGAGAATACTATTTCAAGAAACTAAGAAGATAAAATAGTGGAGATAGACAATGAGAGTTTATGATTGTTGTTGCACCGACATGCTCTGCAATGGAGAGTTAATAGTAGCAGGGACGATGATAAATCATGATTGAATTATGAGATTATGCTTGAGAATTGACATTTATAGATGTCCTAATTTATGAATTTGCTTGGATAGAGCAATGTTGACACTCGAAATACAACAATTGGCGGTGATTGGAGTGAAAAGCTTGTCTGCACATACATTCTATCTTTTAAGTTGAAAAAAAGGATTGTGCCTTGTTTAATTTCTCCATACATAATTAGAATGAAAAAATTGTTATATAAAATAATGTTTTTTTTCTTCTTTCTTATAAAGGACATTATTTAAAAAATAATAGGAGTACGTAGCAAAGAGCTAGAATCAATATGATTTATTATGAGTAGCCCATTTCCTCTCCAAAGCATCATGAAACTTTCTAGACTACATTATAATATACGAGTTTCTAGATAGTTCTACATTATTCTTTACATATACATGATTCTAGGACTTTCTAGAATATTCTAGAGCTCTCTTGAAACTTACTTATTTCAACATATTTTTTGAATTATGTGAAACTTTCTAGAATTTCTTAGATTATTTTTCTCTTTCTAGCTTTTTCTAGAATCTTCTTTTCCATGGATAAAAGGATATGGCTCATCCTTGCTTGGGATAGAGATATGGTTTCATTTTGTATTTATTTTTAAATAGCATGATAAACAATAGTTGCTTGTTTCGTCCGAGAATGAAAGATATCGCTAAAGTATAGATGAATGGCATATACTTTTTATACACATTACCATGGCCCAAGGAAGGTGAATGCCAAGTTCAATGAAATAGGGAGTTGACACAACAAAGCTTAGCAATTATGGTGGAAATAGAGTGATATTCCAACTTGGTGGGGGTAGTGAGCCATGGTGTTTTATTTTTTGGCATTCCAAGAGATTGCGGTTTTACCACGTTATATGATGCGGACACTTGTAGAAATGAAGTGTAGACTAACGATTTATACGGTAAACTATCGGAGCAAAAACTCCAGTCCAATAGTTATGTGGAAAAATGGATGCAATAGAGAGAGAGGGAGAGAGGGGGGGAGAGAGGGAGAGAGGGGGGAGAGAGAGATTTCAACAAATATTATAATAGTGTTTTTTAAGGAATTTATCATTTTCAGATGTGCAGCTGGTTAAATGAGGATGCAATTGGTGGATAAGAATGTGTTAATAGTTTAGATACTCACTACCATTGTAGTAGCACATTGTCATGATTCTTAGATCAATATGCTTTTTGACTAAGACTTTAAATTTGAAAAAAAGCATCATAAACTTGAGATACTTGTTTAAGTGGATAATGCTAGGTGTGTTTGGAAGAGCAATCCAAAAATGATTGCATGGGCGAGGTCCGTTACTGAGAATACTATTTCAAGAAACTAAGAAGATAAAATAGTGGAGATAGACAATGAGAGTTTATGATTGTTGTTGCACCGACATGCTCTGCAATGGAGAGTTAATAGTAGCAGGGACGATGATAAATCATGATTGAATTATGAGATTATGCTTGAGAATTGACATTTATAGATGTCCTAATTTATGAATTTGTTGGGATAGAGCAATGTTGACACTCGAAAAACAACAATTGGCGGTGATTGGAGTGAAGAGCTTGTCTGGTCATACATTCTATCTTTTAAGTTGAAAAAAAGGATCGTGCCTTGTTTAATTTCTCCATACATAATTAGAATGAAAAAATTGTTATATGAAATAATGTTTTTTTTCTTCTTTCTTATAAAGGACATTATTTAAAAAATAATAGGAGTACGTGGCAAAGAGCTAGAATCAATATGATTTATTATGAATAGCTCATTTCGTCTCCAATCATAACATTATCATGGCTGTCATATTGAGGTAGCGACAATGCGATGAGAAACACCATTTTTCAGCAACTTTTAACGGTTTGATTGCCCTTATGTGAGTTTGTAAGACCCTCGGGAGTGAAGTTGCTACGAAGCAGAAGTGCGGTGGATTGAGAAAGAGTTAGTACAAAATTGGGATACTTTTGGACTCTTTATTAGAACTCAAGTTCGTTGACTCAGCATTACTTTTTTTGCGTGACATCCCTCGAAGTGTTGCTATTTGTTTGATAGGACCCATCATTTAAAACGATGTTCTAATTCATTCTTTATAAAAAATTTAAAGAATTCTAGCTTTAATTCCTTCTTTTGGCAAATTGGTTTTACTTCCTTTGTCCATGTAAATCTGTCATCGATTATGTGTAGCGTCATGCTGTAAGAGGATAAACTTAGCTAGCATTTACCGTATGAATTATGTATGAAGTGATGAATGAAAGTTAAAATGTAGCGTTGCTAAGCTAAAGAATAATAGAGATATAATGAGCC